TGTATTTTAAAACATGGATTTGTGCGCAGATGATATGTCAACAAAATGTTTAAATTAAGAAGACTGGGCTTTGATGCGTGGCCCCGCCCCCTGTCTGTGAGCATGTGCCATGCCACCTTGTCCACCTCAGTCTTTCTGAAGCTCCATAGGTCCCGTGTGGGAGGGCCCTGCACCCTAGAGAGCCCACCACCAGCACAGGGCAAGTCTGTACCAACCAGCAAAGTGCTATCAGACAAGCGAGGTGATGCGTCATAGAAGGGCCTTCTCTGGACTTAGAGCAAGTCCCTGGGTGGTGCAAATGGCTGGACACTCTGCTAACTGCAAGGACAGAGGTTCAAGTCCACCCAGAGTTTCCCAGGAAGAAAGGCCTGGCGATCTGCTGCTGAAAACTCGGCGGTGATCACCTCTGACATCAGCACCGGCCCTCAGGACACACGACGCCCTGAGTCGCAGTCACTGCGCTGGGGCCATGGCACTGCACCTGGCCTCTGCGCAAATGAAGTTACAGTCACTCGTGCCCCCGCCGGTGACCCCCCCACAACCTTCCACGAGGAAAGGGCATCTGCCATTCCCTGGAACCTGTGTCCCTGTGTGCAGTCGTCGGCACCTTACGGCAAAGGTGGTGGTGGTGAATGCTAGGTGCCACCAAGTTGGTTTCAGCTCATAGACCCATGTGCTCCTGAACAGCCCGCCCGGTCCTGCACACACCAGACTCCGTCAGCGCTCTGCCCAAGCCCCGCCATGCAGCCCGTCTCATTGAGGGGCCCTCCGCTTTCCCAAGCAGGATGTTCTCCAGGGATTCCATCCTCCCGACGACAGGTCCATCCCCACTTCTGTGAGCATGCTGGCTGCGCTTTTTCCACCATAGATGTGTTTCGTCTTCTGGCAGCCGTGGTATATTCGATACTCTTCTCTAGCATCACTGACTCAAAGACATCGGTTCTTCTTCGATTTTCCCTGCTCACTGTTCAGCTTTCACGGGCCTATGAGCTGGTGGAAGCTACCATGACATGGCTCAGGAGCACTGCAGTCTTCAAAGTGACATCTCTACTTCACAGATTGGCCCAGTGGAATACATCCTGTGATTTCTTGAGTGCTGCTTCTCTGGGCATGTCTTGTGGATTCAAGTTACAATGAAACCCTCGTCAACTTTGAGCTTTCCTCTGTTTATCATGGTGCTCCTTATTGGTCCGGTTGAGAGGGTGTGTGTTCTCACACACTCCCTACTGAAGGCTCTGTGGTCCTTCAGCGTAAGTGCTGCAGCAGACAAGCTTGTGCCATCTGCATATTGCAGGCTGTTAACGAGGCTTCCTCCCATCTTGGGCACAAGTCCTTCATGTGGTCCAGCTTCCCATATTATTTGCTCAGCACATGGACTAAGCAAGTGTGGTGAAAGGATACAGCCCTGACAACGCCTTTTCTAGTTTTATGCCAGCCTGACCCCCTTACTCTGTTCATATGACTGCCTGGTGTTCAGCGGGCACACAATGAGATGTTCTAGAATTACCATTCTTCACCTGATGAGCTGTAGTTTGTTATCACCCACACTGCCAAACACCTTAGTGTTCAGTATTCCTGGCCGTTACCAGCACTTAAATTCATTTGGCCACTTTTGCCATTTTACCTAACCACTAAATCGACCTAGTGTGCTTTCCACCCTTTGCGACCTGGGCAAATGAGGAGTGATTGTTCGATCCCAGATTAATTCCCTGTAAATTCCTGCTTGTCCTCTGGACTCACTCTCAGGCGAGAGGGGACTTCCTGGTCACCTGGCCCCCGACAGTCCCCCCTCCTCCTTGGTACCTGCAGGCCCTGCTTCTCCAGCCGCCTGACTCCAGTTCAGGCCTCCTGGCCACGAGTTGGCAGTCCCTTCATCGTGGCCGCTGCTGCACTCCCACGTGGCTGCAAGCCCCGGTTTCCTCCAGAGTGCCCAGTTCAGGGTGGGGCAGGACAGGCCCTCTCCCGAGCCCACTGCTGTTACACTGTGGTCCCCCTGACCCGTGGATTCTCTTCTGCCATAACAAATCCTTCAGGCCATTATCTGTTAGCTGGGTATGCCGCCTGCGCCTCCCTTGGCCAGCCCCCTTTCCTAAGAGCATGCCACTTCCTTTTTTTTTTTTTAATCAAACCGCCTGACTCGGTGGGGTGAGGGGTATCTTGACTTCCTTGCTGTTTGGGACTGGCAGGCCAATCATGAAAATGCTCATGGGCACCCGAGACAGTCTGTGTGCTGTGTCAGGGTGCCGACATGCAGGGAGCAGCCCATGGCCGTAGAGCCAGCGGAACAGTCGAGGACCCCAGGTTTGCTAGCTGTGGCCACGTTAACTTGACCTCTCTCACTTCACCTCGGTTTGCTCAGCTGTTAACTGGGAGCCGTGGCTGCACCTCTGCCTGGAGCGGATGAGACGGGGTCTTCCTGGGCTGTTTGTGAGAATAGGCAGTTGTTGGGTTTCCAGGTGTGGGTAGCGACGCACTGCTGCTGTAGCCCAGTTGGAAAGTCTGCACGTGTCCCAAGAGAAGCCTGCCTGTGTCCTCGCCCTCGCTGTACGCGTCCCCCACTGCCAGCTGCTCTCGTCAGTTCAGAGTGTCGGGGTCAAAGTGCACTTCCCAGGCTCCTCACTGGCTCAGCGCTCAGTTGGGTGTCAGGCCTTTCTTCCCCCGCGCCTCTGGGTGGACTCAAACCTCTGATCTTCCAGTTAGTCACCCAGAGGGACTGACTCAAGGGTTTGTCTCTTACCTAAAGCCCTCCCCAACACACAGGCTGCAGTTATCCAGAGTGGCAGGCAGTGGGCACCGCGCAGTCCCTGCACGGTGGCCGCTGGTGCACCAGGATGACCGCTCCCAAGCAGTGAGGCGGTGAAGGAGGGCAGTGGCCGAGATGATCCAGGCCAGCCGGCCTTCATCAGGTCGGGAGTGCCACCTGACTGGACTGGGCAGCAGTGCTAGTTGACCCTCCCCCACCCCATGGCTCCTGGCCCGGGAGAGAACGGACTTGCTGGGTGGGTCGCAGCAGTCGCCATCTGTCCGTGCACTCCCTTCTGTCCCGGCTGGGCGTGCCTGCATGCACTTGACCCAGCAGAGCCAAGCTTGGGCCCCCGCACTCCTGTTCTCACCGGCTGAGAGCTTCTCGTAGGAGGCTGTGGCTTTCCGCTCCCACAGAGGTGCACCACAGGGACCCAGAGGGACAGTTGTACTCTGCCCTAAAGCATCTCTGTGAGTTGTAATCGACTCGGCAGTGGGCAGGGGGAGAGGGTTGCTTCCGTGTCCCCAGGTGGGAGCATCTCATAGGGAAGCTGCAGTAACAAAAGTCCACAACGCCGGTGTCTTTAAAGCAGGGGCACTTCCGGTCTGACAGCTCTGGTGACTGAAGCCCCAGGCGGGGTGTCAGCTGTCTGGCTGCTTCCTCCCCAGCCTCCAAGAGCTGTGCTGTTGCAGGGTCACATGGGTCTCCAGTGTGAGCGTCCCAGATCTGCCCTTGTCTTTATGACACCACTCAAGGGTTAGCAGGAGACCTGCCCTCCTTCAGACAGAGCTCCCTTGACCTTACTGAAAACTAAAGGGCAGGAAAAAAAACCCAAGGTCAGAGCAGCGTGTCCTTTGCTGGGGGCGGGGTGGGTGACGGGCGGCACATGATTCAGTCCGTCATGTGATCAGGAGAGACCAGAGGGTCAGCCAAAAAGAGCCTGACACTGGGCGGCTTGCAGGTGGGCGTCACATCTGCAGAGAGGGCAGAAGTTCCCCGCCAGTTGGATGGGCCCAGTGCCTGCAATAGTGGGCTCAGACGAAACAGCTATGGGAGGGCAGGGGCCACAGAACCGGGCAGTTCTGTTGCCCTCACGGTAGTCAGAACCAACTTGATGGCCTCTAACAATGGAGGTCCCTGACTTGGACCCCAGGCTGCCCAGTCACGCTGGTGAACGCAGAAGGATTACCGGCAGCCTCGCCTTGCATGCTGCAGCTGAAGCCAGGACTCACTGACGCTGGAGGCTGCCTGATGCCAGTGCTGGGAAAGTCCTGGCCTGTCTGCCACTCTGGACAGCCAGCCTCCGTGCTTCCACCTTTGAAACCCCTCCTGACCCCATGAAATCCGAGCTCCATCTGTCGGCCTCCTTCCTCACCCTCAGCCCACACCCCACCGCCACCTCCTTCCTGGGCTCAGTGCTCAGATGGCACCCCTTAGCTTTCAGCTTTACTGTGAGAAGTCTCTCCCTTGCAACACGGGCGTTCCGTCTGCCTTTCATCGCCAGGCAGCCCCCTTCCTCTCCCCTTCACCCATCAGCCTCAGGGTGCAGGGGTGCCAGTGGTCTGATGTCTTTTGGCTGGTGGCCCTCTGTTGCGACTCCCAGGGCACTTCCTGTCGTTCACCCCCTCCACCCTCACTACGCTGCCTGACTTCCTGGCAGCCCCCCGGGGCACACAGCAGCCAGGGGGCTTGTTGGACCTGACCCCAAACTCACCGCAGTGCTGCCTGTGGAGACAGAAGTCCAAGTCCAGGCCCACCCAGGCTATTCCCCATACCGCCCTGAGCCTTGAGCCGCGTCCGGAGTCTCGGTCACGTCGTCCTCAGAGCAAGGAGGTTGGGGCTATCACCTGAGGAGATGCATGTGTGGGGACCCGTAGAGCCTCCAGTCCTGGACCCGAGGGCCTGCCTACGCAGCAGGGAACTGCCCCTACCCGTCCATGGTCTCAAACGTTCTCCGTTGAGGAGCCCTGGTGGCTCAGTGGTTAAGTGCTTGGCTGCTAACCAAAGGGTCGGTGGTGTGGACCCTGGAGGAGAGCGATGTGGCCCTGCTTCTGTGACAGTGACGGCCCCGGAGCCCTTGGGCAGAGCTCCTCCCTCCTGAGAGGGTTCCTCTGGGTCAGATACGACGACGACCCAGCGGCGTTGGGTTTCATTGTGTTCTCCAAACCACCCGCCGCTGGGTGCCGCCTGAGTCAGAAAGGCGGGCGCTGCTGCTCCACACGCAGAGCCTCACGTGCGTCTCCCCTGCCCCCGGCAGCGCCCCATCATCTCCATCTGCTGGGGCCACCGGGACTCGCGGCTGCTCATGGCGTCGGGCCCGGCCCTGTACGTGGTGCGTGTGGAGCACCGTGTGTCCAGCCTGCAGCTGCTGTGCCAGCAGGCCATCGCCAGCGCCCTGCGGGAGGACAAGGATGTCAGTAAGCTGAGCCTGCCGCCCCGCCTCTGCTCCTACCTCTCCACGGCCTTCACCCCCACCATC